TATTTCATTTTATAGCAAACTAATATATATTTTCATTTCATTACATATACATTCATTTTAATATAAGCCTTATGTTTTTTTTAATTTTATTTTATGTTTATTAACTTTTTTTGCAATATTTTATGCATTAAGGGTACAATTTATTTATTTTGTAAAATGTTTATATTTATATTCATTTTAGTCTTAAAATTAACCATATGTTTTATGGTAATAATTTACCTGAACAAAACTACCCATTTATTTAATTTGCATATTTCATAGTTTTATTCATAAATTTCACAAGCACACACACATGCAACAAATCAAAATTTATTTTTAATTTCCTCATATATTTTTCAAATATGCTTTTCCTTGTATAGTTAACTTTTATATTATTTTTTATTAAATTATGTTCTTTGCTAATGTGATATTTTTCTAAATTTTAATTTACATTTATAATCCTCTTTTACTAAACAAAAAATGACTTTATTATGTATGTATATGATGAAGAATTAAAGCTACCAAAAGAGGGGGTTCAGAGAGTTCTCCTGTAAAAGTTGTTGTGTGATGTCAAGCCAGATGTTGCCCAAACTTGCTCCTCTTAGTGTCATAAAAGTCACAATGGGGGCAATTAAAACCACCATCTTCTTTATGAAAGACCTGGACAATTCTTGTAGCATATGACTTGAACTCGTTAAGCAAGTGATTGCGAATATCACCACTTGCTATTTGAAATGACCTACAATAAGTTGTTGCAAAGACACACAATTATGTGCTTTATTTGTATTTGTTATTGTTGTAATTGATCAATTAATAGTTTCTAGATAAGTATTGTTTAGTGTTCAAGGATACACTACAAAGGTATAGATAACACTTATAAGTCGTCTATCTTATAAAAGGTCTTATTGGCACCCAAAAGTCCAACTGGTGTAAGGGTTTTGCTCACACTTAGAAATCCAATTGGTTTAGTGAAATTCTCAGGTGGTGTGCTGGTTTATTGTGTTTTATTTGTATATCTCACTATTATTAGTGTAATTGATCGACTAATAATTTCTAGCTGAGTATATTGTTTAGTGTTTAGGGATTGAACACTACTAACACTCGAAAGTTTAGCTGGTTTAGTGGAATTCTCAAATGATGTTTATGGGGAGAGGTCGTAGGTCGGGTTTGGCCGAACCTTTATAAATCATTGGTGTGCTTTTTGTTTTTGTGAAGTTGTTTTGATTCATACTATTGATATTCATTCTTTACATTACTACTTCATTATATTGCACATCAAATTCTTTCTTTCTATCATTACCATATTGTATTAATTTTTGAAGTGGTATTATTTAGGGAGGAAATCTCATAAAACTTGACTCATCCCCTTTTGGGTTAGAATTTGAATAGCTTAATGCGATAGTTGTTCAACAAGTTATGTAGAACCAATGATGATGTCCCATGTATTTTATTATTGGTGCGGGGAATAATCATTTTATTCCACAACTCACTAAATAGCTATTGCATTCAGCTAATGCTCCGCCCCCTTCTTGGGTTAGAATTCAGATTAGCTAAATGCAACAGCTATTCAACAAGTTTTAGAACCAATGGTAATGATGGGGCCCATAGTGGGTACCATGTATTTTATTACCAGTGGGGAGAGTTATTATTTTGTCCACAACACACTAAATAGCTATTACATTCATCTAATCCTTACTCCCTAGGTTAGGCTACTTGGGCAACACCTAATAGTTGAGGAGCTCGAATTTATTGCTCATACTACTGTATGAGTTGATATGATACCAATCACAAATAAATATGCCAATGTTTTTTGTACATTGATACACCCATGTATATAAAATATTGTCTACATTTACTTGTGATTGATTGCATAGTAACTCATACACGGGTAGAGCCAGGTGTAGGGATGCCAATGGGTCGGGTTTGGCATAGGTTTGCCTCAATTCTAACCCAACCCTCCAGCACTCCAATCCGAACCCGATTTGACCTGGCTTATAAATACATGATTCTCGAACCCAACCTGACCCTATAGGGTTTAACCCAGTTCTGACCTAACTTGATCCGTATATATATTTTTAACACATTTTGAAGACCTAAAATACATTAATTTAAATAAGGAATTTTTTTATAGATTCTAAGGTGTTATTTTTTTCATTAAAAAAAGAAGAAAATCAAAATTAACATAATAAACTTTAAGCTTATAAAGTTAGAAGTCAAAAAAATTGCAAGAATACTTGGTATATATGCAAGGTATCATGACCCGATGGGGCGAATCAGCCAAAACTCGAACCCAACCCATACCCGATTCGGGTCAAAGAATTAAAAACCTAACCCAACCCTAAACCAAATATACTTGACCCTAACCTGATCCAATGACATTGTGGACAAGGGGAGCCATCGCCCCCTATGCCTAAAAAAATTCCCATCCATAAACTCATGCATAGTGGTTGGCCACTCAGTGTCCCTCCAAAAGCTCAATTTCACTTAGTTTAAGTCAATCTTGAGCTGAGTTCAAGCCCAATGTATAGTTAGCTAGTAGACTAGTAGAACCCAAGTGATTACTGATATGATCACTCATATCCCTCCAAAAAACTCAATTTGGCTTAGTTTAAGTCAAACTTCATATCACTCAATGTCCCTCCAAAAACTCAATTTGGCTTAGTTTAAGTCAAACTTCATATCACTCAATGTCCCTTCAAAAACTCAATTTGGCTTAGTTTAAGTCTAACTGCGAGCTGAGTTTAAGGCCAATGTATAATCTTAATTAGCATTGAGCCGAGCTCAAATTATATGAAGCTTGACTCATAAAGCACACAAATCTAATTGAGTTTTTCGTATTGGTTATTTTCAATGGTTTTAGGATCGTGGACTTCAACATATTATTGCAGATTTTTAGTAGTTTTGAGTTGAACATGCTATTTTTTTTTATATTTTATGATTTTAAATGTTAAATAAACAAACTATTTTTCTTAGTTTGATGTAGGGTTGTCAATCAATTGGTCCAACCCAACAAACCTGATGGTTTTGAGCCAATTGGGCTGGTTCTGATTCTGGTAACTAGAACCGATCCGTCGGTTTTGGGTCTTGGTATAGGGTCTTGATTACTATTGGTTTAGAACCAGTTCCACCTAGTCCCAGACCGACTCAAACTCAACCCGATATATAATATAAATAAATAAATTATATTAAACAGAAATATTTGTTTTTTATTTTTTATAATTGGGTTTGTCGGGTCATACCCGATTATCCTAAGAACTGATCAGTTTGGTTCCGTGTCCAAAAATTACAGACCTTATCAGGTCCGGGTCCTCAACATTTCATGTTAGGTCAATTTCAGTTCCAATTGGTTCCAACCTAGACCGACCCATTGGCAGCCCTAGTTTGATGAGAGTAGTTAGGTAATTTTGATGTACAAGTAAGTGTGCACATGCTTTGTATGCGCTAATTCTAAATGATGATAATGATAGTAATAATGTATCCAAAATTTTCTATAAACTTTATGTATTTTTTGTTTTTGTTTTTGTTTTTGTTTTTATATTTTATTATTATTAATCAGATGTGGATTGAAAATCCAAATCTAATTACATAAACACCTCATCCAAATATGTGATAATCGGATCGAGTTGTGAAGTTTCAAGTATCATTGATAGGCCTATTTGCTTTGCTAGATTATTCTTGTTGTAATATTTAATTTTTTTGGTGTATCATTTTTTTTTGTTTATTTATCAAAAAATATAAGATTTAAATAAAAGGAATTTAACGGGGTTAAAAGTAGTAGTTCAATTTACAATTTAAATCTCATAATTAGATAGGGTCTTAATTAAAAAATGAGTATTTTAGTCAATAGAAAGTTCCACAATTTTATTCATATTTTTAATGGTAGTGTAAATATAAAATTATAGATGGTTTCAATTTTTTCTATAATTTTTTTTGTATTTTTATGCATAAAAATAATTCTAATATGTCACTTACTTTTTTTTAATATGATAGATATATGATATTATACATGTGGCTAAATGTTTTTTTTTGCAAAATTTATGTATTTTTTTTCATTTTTATATTTTTTGTTTTTATAACATTAAGTGTTAACATGTTTAACCCAAAAGTTGAACTATTGATCTTTTCCAAACAGTAAAATAATTCATTTTTGGTCAGTTCTAAATTATGTATTTCATTTTCATTACCAATAAAAATAATTATTGTTTATTATACTTATTTTTTAATTTGATTAATAAAAATATCATAAATGTGTCTAATTTTTCTACATTTTTTAAGTTTATATATTTATTTATATTTTAAAAATTTTATTACCTAATTATGACTTCATAGGTTGACCAATTTGGTTCAAATGATTGAATTGCTTAGCCATCACTTGGATTAAAAATGGTTTTGTTTTTGAGTAAGTTTTAAAATATATGGGTTTATATTGTTAAAAATATTGAGACAATTTTAATTTAATAGGAGAAAATGAGAGTTAATAATTCAAGTATAAGACTTAATGAGAGGGGATTAAATGAGGTGGGAAGTAATAATTGAAGTTACATTACCACTAGAGATGGACTAAATATACAATTATGAGCATTTTAGTAGCCATTAAATCTAGCATTGAAGCTGATCTTTCGACTTTTTCAAACAAAGAAATAAGGATAATTTTTATCTAAAAAAAAGTTTCACATTTCATTCATATTTTTATATATAAATAATATAAATTATTGTGGTTTTTAAATGTTAAACGAGTAGGATAAGTATTGAGTTCAAACTTGAATTTGAGTTCGGTTAATGTGGAACTCGAGCCAACCAAAATCAAATTGAGCTGAGAGGCCATACTTGAACCCTACCTTTTTCTTTGAACCGGGCTCAAATAAATCAAATATTTGTTTTGTCCTAAGCTCGGAAGAGTCAATCCAATATTCATCTTGGTTCGGCTCGTATCCACCCCAACCGCTGCAACACTTCTGCTCGACCCGGGTGTTTTTGGACCGGTTAAACTTTTTAGAGTTGGGCCAGGAGGAAAACGGGAAGAGAGCTCGAAATATCGAATTTCGGCAGCCTCTCCTCTGTGTCTTCTTCTGCGTAAAAGTCTCAAAAATCTCCGCGCGTTTCGTCAGACGATAGACCCGGAGCTGTGACGAAGAAAAATCATAAAAAGCAAAAAGAAATCCGCAGAGATGAGTTTTGGATTCATGATTGGAGTGTTTGGTGTGTTAATTCTGGCTCACGCCGCTTATTCTACCATTCAATGTAAGCTCCTGATCCTCCTTCGTTATTGTTATGATCAATTTTTCATGAATGAATCAATTAGGGTTTTGGAACATCGTGAAACAGTTAGATTAGGGATTCTACGGCTAAGTGAGTTCCATTTGGCTGCAGATAGAAGCTTGCTGAAGATCCTGGAGGAAGAGTTTTCGGGACTCCCGATGAATGTAAAATCATAGCCCTACTTTGTTCAGTGTTTTCTTAATTTATGTATTTGTTCACCTTTTTTATTTTTGTATCGATGGATCTGGTGCTTATACGGGAATTGCAGGTGGTCGGTGAACTGCTTTTAGGGTTAGTTTTCTGTATGTGGGCGGCCCTAACTGTTCCCGGGAAGTTCCTCTCGATACTTCCTTATTCAGAAGAGAACAGGTTTGGCCTTTAAATCCATTATTATTTTCCGAGATAGTTAATTTCTTCAGTCAATTTTTTAATAAAAGAGCAATTATTTTACTTTTGATGGGACGCTGTTGCATCGTCAATTAGGGTTGTGTCTTTGTCATATCCAGTAGAGAAACTATCGTTGATTAAGAGCAGTAAATTCAGGAATCGACGTATCTATGTTTTGAATTAGAATTGTACTTGTATAAGATGTATCCTCGGTAGATGCTTTGCTAATGTCAGCTTAAAATGTTATTCTTTGCATCTAGTACCGACTTAAGGAACTAGAAGGGACCGGTGCATTGCATGGACTGGTGTTACAAGGATACCCGTTTCACATTCAGTTTCTTAACTGAATTGATTATGAGTGAGCTTAAATAGCCTCACATTTGATTTTTATTTTTTTAAAAAATTTACAAAATCCACAAAATTCTAAAAGGGTTGAGAAGCAATATGAGGAGTCTGACGCGAACAACTGCATTTTAGAATACAGTACTAGAAGAGACCCACGCGATGCACGGGGTGGTGTTAAAAAGATATTCATGTTACATTCAGTTTCTTAACTGAATTGGTTGTGGGTAGCTTATATAGCCCCATAATTAATATTAAATTTTTAAAATTAAAAAAGAACAAAATTCTAAAAGGGTTGGGAAACAATATGAAGAATCTGATGTAGACAACTGCATTTTAGAATATTAGTATAGATAGATTCAAAGATCACATAATTGTATGTTTGTTCCTTTACTAAAGTTATGATATCCATATACCTACATATTGGTGCTATGTGCCTAAGGCTGCAACTTGGGCCGGGTTGTCCTGAACCCAACCCAAAAAAATGGGTTGGTTTGATGTTCGGGTTAGGGTTAGGGTTGAAATTCATGAACCCGACTATACTTCGGGTTGGGTTAGGGTTGACCCCTTAGCCAATCCGACCCAACCCGAACCCGACTCTATAGTACATGTCATATATAAATATATGTTATATGTAATATATAACATACATTGATTTGTTTAGATGCATGATATTTGTATAGCCCCCACCACATAGTATCATGTATTTCTTTTAAGATAATCAATTCACTTAACCGTAATTAGAAAGATTAAAACCTTAATAATATTACTTTATGTTTTTTTGAAAATTTTATTCTTCATCTCCTCTATGTTGTTTGCCGCCCAAGAAAGATCTAGCGTAAGCCATAACTCATAATAAACTATGGTTATTTCTAACACTTGTTTTTCTGAATTGTGTTTCAAAAAAAAACGTCAACAAACAAATATTAATGAAACATAGGATTAATATATGTAGTGAAAGTTGAGTTAAGATCTAAAATCGAGAAATTTATGAGGTTTTAAGGGATGGGAAGAAGGTTGGGTTGGGCTTCGGGTTGGGTTGGGTTGGGTTAGGGTTGAAGGAATTTAGTTAGGGTTAGGGTTAGGGTTGGGTTGGTCGGATTGAAGATCAGGTTGGGTTAGGGTTGGGATTTAGAACTTAGGGTTGGGCTAGGGTTGGCCTCAACCCGACCTAACCCAGCCCGACTTGCAGCCCTAGCTGTGCCAGATACTTAAGCTTTTAGTGTAATTTCTGTATTTGATACCTTATCAGCCATGCCCATGCCCCACCTGGGTAACATAGGTTATAAGTTTTTTTCTTTTTTTTTTGAAAATTACATAGGTTATAAGTTTTACCTCTTTGGTATTAACTTTTGGATAATTTATGCTTTTTTTGGAACATCATATGATTGCTTTAATGTTGGTGATCAGCTTATCTTGAGTTGCACAAGTATGGGCATGCCATAAATGAAAAGGATGTCAGTTTGTTTTGATGTGGAGAAATGGTGAAAAGGATGTCAGTGGAAGATGGAATGAGGACATCGATTTTTGTTGATGTTAGGAAAAATAGGGAGGATGAAAGAAAGGATGAGCATGAGGGTGCTGTAGGTAAGCTTAGTAGGGAGGTTCATAGGTCTGGACTTGGATGTGGAGAAGGTCGAAGCTTTGGTGATCCTTGAATGGGGAAAAGAGGGGGTAATGGGAATTAGGAAGTTGAATGGTTGTCTGTTCTTTTTTATGTTTCATAGCAGAGAAATGGTGGAAAGGACTTTGGAGCTAGAATCTTCAAAGGAAAGGGAGTTTGATTTGCATCTAGGTTGTGTCCCTGGCAGCAAGCCTGTTGAGCTTTGAAAGAAGGAGGGCGGTGTGGATTGATGTTAAGGGGATTCCACTCCATGCCTGAAGTATTCTCATCTTCGAGGAAATAGGTTGTCAATGCGAGAAGTTTTTGAAGTATGATGACAACAGCAAATCTGGGATAGATTGAGGTGAAGGAGGTCCCAGACATTCCAAGTAAATTAGAGTTACAATTTGCAGGGGAGAGGTATGAGCTGAGACTAGTTGTGGAAGGGGAGGATGGAACATTTTTAAGATCAGGTAAGGTAAATGTGAACAAGGAAGCTGATATGAACACAAAGAGGGAAGAGAAGATTTCAAAAGCAGAAGAGGAGAGCTGAAGGGTCGATTGCAGGAAGAAGAAGATGCTGAGGTGGAGAGCTCGAGAGGTAAAGGTGGAATTTTAGAGGAGTTAGTTGAGGAAAGTTTTAAGGTTGGGGGACACGTGGAGGGGGAGAGGTAGTAGGGAGGTGAGAAGTCCAAGAGTCAAGCAATAAAATCTGGGGAAGCGAAGAGGAACATGTGGTAGAGGGTATTTTGTCAATTGAGGGATTCAAGTGGTTAAGAACCAACCCAAGGGGTTGGGAGTTTTAAGAGGGAGGCATATATAATTGGAAAAAAGGAGAAAAAATGAGGAGGCTCAGATATCTCGAAGAAAGGAAAAAAGAGAATGTGAAAGAGGAACGGGTGTGGGTGGTACAAGGTATGACAGAAACAAGAAGGTTTGAGAGTAAGAGGAGTTGAGAAGACTCGTAGGTGTCACAGCGAGCTACAGCAAGCAACGAGCAACAGTGAGCAACAGGTTGACCTCGAGAATCAAGAGGAGAACATTGGAGGTCAAAGAGTCAGAGTGCAGGAACAAGTGATTGTTTTTCAATATTCAAAAGGGAGTTGGAGTCAAGTGGCAGTTCAGGTTAATCCCTCTCAGCAAGCATTAGAGGTGATTGTTGATGGCTTGCACAATAAAGAGGTAAGCCCTTCTGATCCATTATCTTCTAGTGGCTCAACAGAGAAGAGAGGAATGGAGGTAAGGAAGAGGGTAGGAGAAGAGGAGAGGGAAGGTGGCCAGAAGACAAAGCACTCGATTGGGTCAGAAGGAGGCAATGGGCAGAACATGGTTTATAACAGGAAAGGAAGATTTTCGGGGTTATCCTCTAGAGAAGTTGGTGCCAAGGATGGAGAGGTGGGTGAAGGGGAGGGGTTTCTAGAGGGGGGGGGAGGTAGAGGTGAGGTGACGGTGGGCAAATAAGCTAATAGAAAGGGAGGTAGAGGTGAGGTTTGAAGAACAAGAAAGTAATGAAATTGCTCTAAGAAGTGATAACTAATAAGCTAATAGAAAGGGAGGTGACGGTGGGCAAATCCCTTGCATTGTTCTTTTGGGGGGTGGGGAGAGTTATGCGATGTTAGCATTTGAACAGTTTGAAAAAAATAAAAGAGAGGAGAAAAGAGTAAAAGGAGAAAATCAAGAAGGACAATGGCTGGGGTAGAAGAGGAAGAGTGAGGAGTTGGAGAGTTGAGAGTTTAAGGAAATCGGGGGAGGGGGTGTGGAGGGGGAAAGAATGTAGTTAAGTTGCAATGTGAGGGGTCAGAGGGAAGGGGAAAGAAGGACTGTGATAAGAACCTAATAAGAAAACACAAACCAGAGGTGGTTCTGTCACAGGAAGCGAAAATAGAAAGTTTTGATGTGAGTACGAGGGATGAAATGTGGGAGATGGTCAGTGGAGAGTGGGTGGAGTTAAATGCAGAAGGAATGATAGAGGATCTGGTCATTTTGTGGGAAAGGGGTCTTCAGAATATAGGTGTAACTGGGTGAGGTTCTGGGGTCTTCTTGAACTTCAGTTTGTATTGTTGAGTTTTTTGTGTAGATTTATCTATTTGGGTGTCATCTTGACACCTCACAGGATGTACTTTATCTTCTTCTTTTTTAATGAAATCTTTCTCTTTACTCTTCAAAAAAAAAGGAGCATGCCATATATGAATGAGACCATTTCTAATTGAGAGATATGAACTACTGATGATTATCCTTTAATCCAGCCCCCTTTTTCTTAGGGTGTCATCCAGAACTCCTATTCTATGTTGCCCAGGCTTTCTTTATGTTCAGTTGAGAGAACGCTAACTTTTTCCATTTGTAATGAATGTCCTTCACATACTTATTAATTGCAAGTAACACACCCATACTTATTTCTTTTTGGTACAGGTTCTCCTTGATGGAGATATGGGCAACTCTAAAACTTTCTTCTCTTTGAGAAGACTCAAGCAATGATTGTATTCACTCTTTCCACCTGGAAGCTAAATGATTGCTAGATTAAACTATCCAGGTCAGGACAAGTAGGGTCCACGCCTTTCCCAAGGCTTAGTAATTTGGCTTGGCTAGGAGATTTTAACCGGCTTAGGATTATTTTTACAATATCTTGAGGAAAAACGTGTTTCTCTGTTTTTGATCAGGGCATTGGCTCTTGTTCCCAAGGCTAACCTTTGTTTTCTACTGGTAGTTCATGCCCATTGTTGGATGGAGTGGTGGGCTTGGGGGCCTCTTGGATCTGTCCTGGTCAAATGCTGCTTTTTATAGGAATGATAAGAAAAGAAGAGGGAGTAGCTTTAGGAGCTTCTATGGCCTTGTTATCAATTGGTCCTGATCTCTAAAAGATGCTGGGGTTTTTCTCTTTTTTTTTCCTTCTTTTTTTGGTACAAATCAGTGAACAAAGGCTACAGATTTGTTTTT